TGCCGGCGGGACTCAGGGTCAGGGGCTCCGGCCGGCGCCGTGGGGGGCAGCGAGGTGACGGTGAACCTGCGGCTCATGGCGCGGAACGGGGCCGGGCGGCGGTGCGGCCCGGATCGCACAAGTGGCGGCAGCCGGGCTCCCGGAGCGAGAAAGAGCGGTTCCCCGCCTGCCCGCCCGCCGCCCGCCGCCCGCCCCCCGCCGCCCCCCGCCCGCCGCGCGCCACGCAGGGTCCTAGTGCCCGCTGCGCCCAGCTCCCCGAATCTGGCCACCTTCGCTGGAGGCTCTGGACTCCCGCTTCCACCTGAAGCGCCGGAGGAACACACCCACCTGTGAGTCATCCCTCACGGGGCGTGGGGGGGGCAGTGTGTGGCTCCTGCAGCTAAGGTCTACCTCTTCTGGGGGGGTCTCCTAACTACCTGGGGCTCATTCACTTACCTCTTCAGCACATGTTGATGGCTCTCCCGTGTTTCAGGCGGCTGGGCCACTTGGGGATACAGTTGAATGAGATCAGCTGGCTTCTTGTCCTCCTGTGGCTTGTGTTCTAATGAGAAGAGAGAGGAGCAAGTGTAAGAGAGCAAACACACAGAGGAGATCGTTTGAGACTGAGGTATATGGTAAGAAGAAAAATTAGGGCCTTGTGATAATGGCTAGGAGGAAGAATTACTTTAAGCCCGAGAAAGGCTCCTAGAAGATGTGATGTGTGAGCTGAGACCTCACTGGTGAGAATAGCCAGCTATGCAAATATCTGGGGGAAGAATTGTCTAGCAGAAGTAGTAAGTGCAAAGGCCATGGGGGTGAGGAGGCACCTAGTCTGTTTAAGAAGCAGCAAGATAGCCATTGTGTCAGGAACCGAGTGAGTGGTGAAGATGATGACCTAGATGTGGGAGGACAGGAAGGCCAATCAAATGGTCTTTTGAAGTCTTTGGGGAGGAGCCTAGATTCTTTTCTAATCCACAATGGAAGCTACTGGAAGTTTTGAGCAGGGAAATGATGTGATCATACACACACACACACACACACACACACACACACACACAGGGGTTTGAATTCAGGGCTTTATGCTTGCTAGGCAGGTGGTTTACCACTTGAGCACACTCCAGCCCTTTTTGCTTTATTTTTTGAGTAGAGTTTAGTGGGATTTGTCCACTCTGACCTGAACCCTGATCCTCCTAATTATACCTCCTACATACCTGGAATGACAAACACATGCCACCAAGCCCAGCTTATTGGTCCAAATGTGGTCTCAGTAACTTTTTGCCCAGACTGACTAGCTTCTAAGATCCTCCAGATCTTGCCTTCCGCATAGCTGGGATTTCAGGCACAAGCTACCAATGTCTCTGGCTGCTGAGTGAACACTGAACTAGAGAAGAGCAGTCGTGAAGGCTGGGAATCCCAGAGGAAGCTTCTGCAGACTTCCACGTGGGAGATGATGGTAACCAGGTTACCAAGGTGGCAGCCATCTGATTCCAGAGAGGTCATGGAGGCAGCAGAGCCTGCTGATGGACTGGGAGTGGCATGTGACATGAAGAGTGGAGTCAAAGAGGAAACCTGGAAACTCTCTACACTGTGGTGGGAGTGTAGACAGGCAAAACCACTTCAGAAGATAGTTTGGTCATGTCTGGTAAAGCCGAACATATCTTTTGGCCCAGAAGTTTTATTCCTAGGTGTCTACCCAGAAGAAATGACTGCCCTTGTTCTACAAAAGACATTTACAAGAATCTTCAGAGCAGCGTTATTTGTAAGAGCCCCAAATTGGAATCTACCCAAATGTCTACCAATGGTAAAATAGATCACTGTAGAACGTTCTCACAAGGGAATACTCATAAAGAATAAACAATATACCATTTACAGAACAATGGGGGTGAATCGCTCAAACATAACATTGAAACAAAGAATTCAGACACAAAAGACTACTTACCTTACAACACTGTTTAAATAAAGTAAAAAAAATTAAAGTCTATCTAAACTGTTAGAGGCAAAGACAGTGGTGACTGTCGGGGAGAAGTACTGACATAAGGGAGCACGAGGGGCTTCTTGGGTGCGGAGAATGTTTTGTTTTTCGATCTAAGTGCTGCTCACACATTTGTGTTCAGTTTGTGAAGTTGTATTGAAGTGTACGTTTCTAATAGACGCACTTGTCTGTGTGTTTATTATAGTCAAACAATGGTTCTTAACTGGGTGTCTTGTTGCCCACCAGGAGATATTTGGCTATGTTTGGGAAGATTTTTTTAGTTGTCACAATGGGAGGGGCGATGGTACTGGTATCTGGTGGCCAAAAGCTCCTGGGGTCATTTGGCTTGCCCAGCCATGAGTCACAGGTTCTCCATCACCTCACTGCACCCCACCTCCACACTGGGACCTGTGGTAGGGGAAGGGACTGATCCCAAATGGACCTGGCATCTGGCCATGAATCCTGCCACCTCCTAGAGGAAGACACCAAACATCCTACAATGTATGGGACAGTCCCCCCCAACAAAGAATTATCTGGACTCAAATGTCAGTTGTGCTGAATTTGAGAAACCCTGTACTAGATTAAGGAGTCTAAGTAACCAGCTCCTGTATTTTAGGATGATCAGGTTTTAAGCTTGGGGGTGGGGATGCTGTTTTTTTTATTGTTGTTTGTTTGTATATTTTGGTGATATGTGTGATTTGAACTCAGGGCTAGACTGGTGCTCTACCACTTGAGCCATCACTGTCCCCAGCCGTTGGTTGAGATGAGGTCTTAAGAACTTTTTGCCTAAGCTGTATTCAAACCTCGATTCTTCTGGTCTCTTCCTTCCCAGTATATAGGATTATAGGTTTGAGTCACAGTACTCAGTGACTTTTTATTAAGATGGGGGTGACTAGAGGAGGAACAGGTTTGGAAGATGAAGCCCAGGAGTTAGGTTTGGACCTGTTAGGTGGAAAAGTCCAATAGGCCAAGGGGAAGTGTGGGGCAGGCAGCTGAGCAATGAGTTGGTGCTCAGGGGAAAGGTTAAGGCTGGGGGTATAAATTTCAGTCGTTAGTACAAAGATGCTATCCAAAGCTGAGGGCTAGACAAGATCATAGGGAGTGAGTGTACACAGAGGAGAGAAGAATCCAAGGATTGAACACAAGGGTGTGCTACCATTTAGAGGTCAGAAAGAGGAAGCTCCAACCACTGAGGTGAGATAAGGACCAGAAGTCAGGGCATCCCAGAGACCAGGTGAGAAAGAATAGCAGAGGAAGAGCAGGATCAATTGTGTCACACATGCAGATGTTGATGTGCAGAGCAGTGCCCGCTGACTGGTTGCAGGAGGTTGTAGGGGGCTTAGAAAATGGTGATTCAGTGGTACAGCAAGGGTGGGAGCCAGGCTGAATGGTTGAGGAGAGAGTGGAGGTTGAGGAAGTGGAGACAGTAGACCACACTTGGGGAAGTTTGTGAATGAGGTGGTGCAGGAAGACAGGACTTAGTAAAGAAAGCTTTGTATGCCAGTGGAGGTGGGTCATTCCTAGGCAAGAAACAGATGAACTAGGAGAGAGGGGCTGTCCCAGATGAAGCTCGGAGAACAGTTCTCTGAGCTCTTTAAACTCCCACTTGGGCTCCAGGTCTAAAAGTCCATCAGATCTGCTCAAGCCCATCGCCTCTGCTCACCCACCCCAACCCTTCAATCGAGTCCCACTTTCGGCCTGTGAGGTTAAATCTGTCCTCCTTTGCCTGGCATTTGGACCTTCTCTCATCTCACCCTGTCCTTCACTCCTAATTCACCCATTCCATTCTTATCCACCTACTACCACCACGCACTCGGGTTCTGAGCCACTCACATTTCCCCAAACACCCTCTCTGCTTTTTCTCTTCTCCCACCGCTTGCACCAAGAGCCCACATCAGATCTCACGGTCAGCACTCACTCACACTGGGTGAGTGTGTCATCTGAAAAACAGGAGGTTGGTGATGACCGTAATGACAGTACCCGTGAGCTGAGATTGGTGGCACCCACTCAGGAGGCTGAGGCAGGATGATTATGAGTTTGAGGCCAGTCTGGAGTACACAGTGAGACCCTGTCTCAAAAAAAAGGCAGGGGGAAATTGGGCATGACTCAAGCAGTAGAGCACCTGCCTAGCATGCATGAGACCCTGAGTTCAAACTCTAATACTGCAAAAAAAAAAATTTATAAGGTAATTGTATTACCTGCCTCACAGGATTGTTTTAAGTCACGTAAAGCACATGAAACAGGGCCTAGCACACAGTGCTGTACAAGGGGTGGCTACCACCATAACAAGTATATTTCATTTATTTTACCCATATTTTTTTTCTCCACTGCCCTACTCCAGGGCATTGAGTTTGTTACCACTTTCTTCCTGTATGAAAAAATGTGGCACTCAACATCCTGGTATATGGTGCTTGGTGCACACATGCGTGCACAAAGGGTTAGAGGGTGTGTGCATTTTTAAGTTGAAGGTTTTAGTAGGTTGCCTGCTAAGACCATCCCGCTAGCACAGGAAGAGTTCTTGCTTATACTTCCCGAGTGAGTTGACAGGTCATCGTGACTAGGAAATGTTCTCCAAACTCTGTGTGTGTGTGTGTCTCTCACACACACACTCACATACACACTATTTGAGAATAAAGTATTACACACTTTGAACTCTCCGATTATGATGCCACTGCTACCAGCCACAGAATCACCCCATAACTGAGTTGGACCCTCGGAGTGGCGCCTGTGTAAGCTCTCAGGTCACTGTTATGTACTCTGGTATTTGAGGACCGCTATCAGACCGTAGCCCAAATTCATTGCTCTCTTCCCAGTGCCTAGCAAAAAGCCTGGCTCCATGGAGGGGGCTTAATGAATGAATACCTTGGCCATATCCTCAGCTGTAAAAGAGAAAAATCACATAATACCTTCCCAATAGAAAGGACTGCCTGTGTTAATGTTTATGAAAACCCTGGAGTACTGCTTACAGTAAGCACTTTTCAGTTAAATATCCACATACATATGAACATGCATGTATACAGAAACAAAAAATAAAAGCTGCTCCTACAGCTTAGAGAATCCAAGTTTATTAGAAACAGTCTAACAAAAAAGGAAGGAGCGAAGCGAGGACCCAGCCCACCTCCACTCCTCCCCATCCTCCAGAACAGACCACCAGTTTGTATCCGGCAAACTGGCTCCTTCCCCATGAAGATGGTCCCCGTGGTGATCCGTACTGCACTGCTGAGGCATCATGGGAGCCCTAGTCCTCAGGGCACCCCAGTATGTCAAAGGTCACATATCCCACTTGGTCCACCTGGTTCACCTCATTCCGGGAACTCACGCGCCAGTAGAAGCGGTCCTCACAGAAGTAGGCTTTCTCTGCAAGGAAAGAGGCAGATACAAGAAGGATGATTCTCACCCTCCAGTGCATCCAGACAGGAGCAAGTACATTCATTGCTCCTGGCCTTTCTAGATCTTTCCAAGGTTTTCACATGGCACCTCTAGTTCCTCTGCCTGCCTGTGAGATATGAGGGGCACAGACCCTGATGCTCAAAGCAGTAGCACAGAGCCTGGCACATAGTAGGTGCTCTGTACACATTTTGTGAATGAACCAGCAGACAATGCTCAGAATAATTCAATCAACATTCGTTCAGTGAACAAATCCATTCATTAATTCAACAAATGTTTACAGAGTACCTGCTATGTGCCAGGCACTGTTGGAGGTGCTAGGGATACATCAGAGAAAAACACAAGATCAATCCCAATTCTTTTGGTGCTTACACTCTAGTGGAGCAAGACAAATGATTAACAAGCAAACCCTAAAATAAATGAGATTGGTTTTGATGATGTAGACCGCTACAAAGGAAATAAAAACAAGTGGGTAGATAATGAAGGCCAGGGACCACCTCTCTGAAATGGTGGCCTTAGTACTGTGACCCAAAGGATGACAGAGAAGCAGCCTGGTAACAATTTTGGGAAAAAGCCTTCCAGATAGAGGGAACAACTGGCACAGAGGCCCTAAGCTAAGAATGACCTTGATTTGTTCAAAGAACAGCCAGTGTAGGTGGAGCAAAGTGAATGCCAGGAAGGGGGGGGTGGAGATGAGAACACCGAGGTATGGAGGGGAAGGGGAAATCAGATAGTTTCTTTGACCTTTCTTGGTTGGAGTCATTCCAGAACCACTGCCCTCCACTCCTAACACCTTCCTACTCTCAGGGAATACATTAAAAGTTATTGGGCATGTAGCATGTTTCTTTACAAAAGAGATGGTAAAAATGATACACTGAAAAAAGATTTGGGGGCCTGTAATCCTGGTACTTGGGAGGCTAAAATCAGGAGGATTGCAGTTCAATCCTCCAAATAACCAGAGCCAAATGGACTGGAGGTGTGGGTCAAGCAGTGGAGTGCCTGCTTTGCAAGCACAAAGCCCTGGGTTCAAACCCAGTCCCATCAAAAAAAAGAAAAAGAGAAAAAGATTTTGTTAGTAGAATCAATAGACCTCATTAACTGATGGGTTGTGATCATGAAAAAGGGAAAACAAGTATCACTTCAGCTATCCTCTGCATTTTACAGGTAGGAGAACCAAGGCTCTAAGAGTAGCAGTGGACTTGCCTAAAGACACAGCTATGAGTTATCCAATCTCTCATTGTATTGCCGGTGGCATCCCAGAGCCTGGCACATTATAGGTACTTGATAACTATTGCCTAATAAAGGAATGAGCCTCCTTACAAACCACAGATCCTGTGGTCCAGACAAGAAATCTGGGTCCTCGTCCTGGCTGTACCCCTGACTCCCCGTATGACCCAGGGAAGGTCTCTACAGGGATCCTGTCTATGCCCAGGCATTTGCTTCAGTCTCCAAGGGCGTTTTCTTTCTTGCTGAGAATTTGGCCCATTACTAAGGCTGGGGAACCCAACAGGGGAGGAATCACAAGAAGGGACCCTCCCCAGCCCGCTTCTTCAGCCCTCACCTCGGTACTGGAAGATGTCGTGCGTGTTCCAGGGCACCCCGGGGAACATCGTGTCCAAGGCCGTGCTGCTCCCCGAGTCCACCTTCTGAGTCTTCGGGTCGAACCTGCAAGAACACAGCCCGCAGACGGGTGCTGAGCCCGCGGGCGAGCGGACGGCGCCGGGCTCCCCCTGCCGGCGGCCGCGGTGGCGCTCACCTCCAGAAGCGCTCCCCGCTGAAGAGCAGCGCCTTGCCCCCGCCATGCGGGAGGACCCCGGTGACGCGCGTCACCTCCGAGCCCAGGCCCAGCTTGTCCAGACGCCTCGGGCCCAGTATCGACGCGCCTGTGTCCACCCACACTTGGCGCCCTGCAGGGGAAAGGGGTCGCATAAGTCGGGGGCGTGCCAGTGGGGGTACATGCTCCTTTGGATGTCAAGATGGAGAAGCCAGTGAAGCCTGTCCTAGTCCCTTGTGTGCCCAGCGGTCTCTGTGCCCAAGGGGCAGAGCCTTTGGGTACCAAGGTGTAAGGCGTGGCAGCGAGCACCACCGAAATCCAACCCCCCATAAATGTGTTAGATTGAGCCCCCCAGGATCGGGCGTCCTCTTCTAGTTGTGCGTCTCATAGGTTACACTGAGTCTCTGGATTCTCCCTGACCGACAGGGATTGAGGGCCTCAGGAAAGAGAGAAAGGAGGAAACTAACCAGAGAAGAAGAAAATCTTCTTGGACAACGGATCTTCAAATGCAGAATCCAGCTTTGCGGGCAGTGCGGGCCACGTGTCCGCAATAAGGAAGGGGCCCTGTATCTGGCGCCTTTTGCCCTCAATTAACCGCCAGTACCGCCTGAGAGCGAGAACAGAAAAAGCAGGGCACTGAACCTTGGACGGGGAGGTTGAAGGACCAAGCTCCTTCCCTCATCCATTCATCCCTTCTGCTCACCCCTCCTTGAAGAAATGCAGAGTATTCCGGATTTCCACGATGGCGTCGAAAATGTTCACGTTGCAGGGATTATCCGCTGGATCCGAAGACACTGTAGGGTCCTGAGAAGGTCCAGCAGAGGGGGGGGCTGTAGGGCCAGCTGAGGGGGGACCTGTAGGGCCAGCTGTGGGGTAGGCATTGGAAGGTATGGTGGGGCAGACTGTCGCAGGAGCCGTGGGTTGTGGTGCAGATGTGGTGGTGGTTGGAGGCTTTGGGTCAGGTTTAGGGCCAGGACCTAAAAAAAGACACTGGGTAAGACACTCCTATTCTGCCTATCTCTGTCCCCAAGCCTTCCAGTGATCCCTGGCTCACTCTACTTAGATGTTGGAGCCTGCCTTCTTCCAGCCAGGAAGAGTCAGCTTCCCATACACTTGGGCCTCCATTCAAGCTGTATTTATCCAGCTCTGGGCAGAGTTAGGCTTTGGGCTATGCCTTATGGTTAGAAGTCAGGCAGAATCCCTCTCTCCCAGGCCAGGGACAGAGGACTCTTTTGAGTGCTCATGGTGCCAAACAGTGCTGACAGCTTTATAAGCTCACATGATTGGCTCATTTGATCTTCAACAAAAGACTATAATATAATATCTCCATTTTTTTAAATAAGGAACTAATACCAAGTCATGACAAGTGGTAACAGTAAAAATCTTAAGTACTTACACAGTGACTACATATGCCAGGCATCACTAATCACCACCCAAGGAGGCAGGTACCCCACTTTAGAGATTAGGAAATTGAGGGATGCATTGACATACTCAAGGTCATCTAGTTATGAAATGGCTGGACTGGTCTCTCTCTCTCTCTCTGTGTGTGTGTGTGTGTGTGTGTGTGTGTCTGCACGCCCCCCCATGTTTATCTTTCTCTGGAGTCTTGGTTCTTTAGCATCTCTTTAAGCACTCACCTGGCAGTCACTGAACTCAGGCCGTATCCCAGATGGATGTGGTCTCCTCCACCACCCCCCATTCTCCAGCCCTATGGCTGAGCCACACCCTTCCCTCTGCTCCTTCCATCCTTGTCCCACAGCCTCACCATAGAGATGCTGGATGCCCCTCACGTCATCCTCATGCAGTGGGGAGCCCTCCAGGAAACGGTACATGGGGTACATGAGCGCCTCTGGCACAGAAGAGTGATCTAAGCCCAGCGCGTGGCCAAACTCATGTGCGGCCACAAGGAACAGGCTGTATCCTGGAAGGAAGAGAGAGCTTGATACTTGAGCGCACAGCCCTCACTTCTCCACCACCACCACTGTGGGGGTTGGGGCTTCCAACCCGCAGCCTCATAACCCCGCCCACCTTGGTCAGGGCAGAAACCCCACTTCTTGTCGCTGTCGAAGTTTGAAGTGGTGGCACACCAGAGGCGCCCATCGCTGCGACCCTCCCTGGTACAGGTCGTGTATTCCTTTCCCAGGAAGACGAAGGGGAAGACGCATAGCTCGCCTGCCGAGTTGCCCCCAATCACCGTGGAGTCGGCTAGAGAAAGGGTCCAATAAGATGCCAGGCAGGGAAAACCAAGAGCTAGAGAATCTCGGTGGTCTTTTCTTTTCTTTTTCTGAGAGCAATGGGAGATGGGAGAGCAGGGCTGAATCTGATAGGCGGGCGGAGGTACCTCGGGTGGGGCAGAAGCCATAGAGCTTGTCTTGGTCGTAGTTGGCGGTGGTGGCGCACCAGCGGTAGCCATCGGAGCGACCTTGGGTGGTGCAGGCGGAGTAGGAGCGGCCCTCGAAGATGAAGGGAAACACGCAGGGCTTGCCGTCCGCATTGCCATGCTCGGTGTAGAGTCCTGAGGAGGCCCACACTCTTAACCCCCAAGTGCGAGAGGTTTCATGACCCAAGGACCGTCTGTCTACAGTCCATCCCTTCTCTCCTAATTTCCCACATGAGGAAACTGGATACAGAGAGGGAGAGTGCCTTGCAGGCCACACGGCACTATTGGCAAAGATGGAATCAGAACCTAAGATTCTGGACCCTCAAGGGTAATGGCGCCTGCACCCTTCGCCGCAACCCCACACTCACTCTCGCTGGGGCAGAAACCGAACCGGCGGTCCGTGTCGTAGTCGGCTGTGGTGCTGCACCAAGGCGTGCCATCGGTGCGGCCGTCGGTGGTGCAGGCCAAGTAGGAGCGGCCCTCAAAGGTGAAGGGGAAGTGACAGGGCGCACCATTTGCGTTTCCAAAGTAGGTTGGAACCACTGTGGGAAGAAGGGAACCAAAGTCAAGGCGGCTGAGAGGGGTATTGGAGGAGAGGAGAATGGGGGAAGGAAGGAGTGGGGGCATCGGGGTGGCTTAGAATCTCACCGACGCCCTTGCCCAGGGTCCACAACTCTTCGTCGTCGAAATGGGCGTCTCCCTGAATGCCGGGGCCAGGAGGAAAAGCGTGTGCCAGAAGCCCGTCCTTCCCGTCGAAGGGATACCCATCTCCGTGCTCTGAAGAAGCAGGTGGCGAGGAAGGGAGTTAACCGAGCACTGTTGCGCAGCTTGCGCGCGATCCAAGGGCGCGCGAGTGAGCGCAAGCTGAAATCCCCGCTGCGTGCAGCGCTGCCAGCGGTGCACCCAGGCGCTGTACCCTTGTCGCCCAGGAGGGGACGCATAAGAACGAACAGCAGCCAAGGCTGCAGGGGCAGGCACAGGAAAGCTGGTTCACTGCGCCTTTTACACTCTCCGGGTCCCATGTCCCGGTCCAGGAGTTCTCACCAGCGACACCAAACTGGATGACGATGTCTGCGTCCCAGCTGTAGACGCGAGTGAAGGTGAGCGGTGTCACCGCGCTCCACACCGCGAAGGCGCGCGCAAAGGCGTCGTCGATCACGTCGCGTGGCAAGTCTTCCGAGTAGTTTTGGATCCTGTAGGGAAACAGCAGGAGGAAAGCGGTCAAAAATGAGAGGCTGGGACCCGGCGCCACGACATCCCACATTTCAGTGTCTTCAACATACACAATGTCCCCTATGGTCTACACTTTCATCTATAACGTACTTTCAGATGCTACACACACACACACACACACACACACACACACACACACACACACACGCTTTTTTTGTGGGGGCGGGAGGCGCTCACAGTGGCCCTAACAGGATGATTTGGATTGCAACGATTATTCAGAGGCCCAGAGGTGGATTCATTCACTCCAGACTCTACATTAAGGAACGCAATACGGGTGTATGTTCTGCTCAACCCAGCACAGGTGCAGACACGCCTCCACGGCCCACCCGAGCCACTCCCTCTGAGCCCAATCGCTCACCAGTATGTGATGTTGTGGTGGTGCCACTTGAGATCGCCCTCAAAGGTTTGGAATTTGCCCAGGTCTGGGACACCACAGCGTGGGGTGCGCATGGCCTCCAGGGTCTTGCTGTCCAGCTCACCCGTCTGGGGCAAAGACAGCTGCTTCTGGAGCAGCAGCAGCGCAGGACGCAGGGACAGCTTTTCCCCTTGCATCTCAGCCACCCGAGTGTAGCCATACCGGTACAGGTACTCCTGTGGATGAGGAGCGAGCAGAGACATCCAAGAGTCCTGACCCCCTTTCTCGGCCCTTCTGAGCCAGAACTGTCCCTCCAGATGCTTAGGGATTACCAATAAAGTAGTAGCCCAAGGCACAGTGCTTTCTGAGCACCCAAGAATTGCACTCATTTCTTGCAGACACCCTCAGCTCCTTCCCCTCTGGGTGATGTGGCCCTGTCACCCCGAAAGATCTCCCCTAGGATTTACCCCTGTTCACTACCAACCCCCTTATATCCAGAACTCCCCATCATTTCCGGTTGCTCTGGGAGACCCCCATTGCCTTAGGAAACCCCCATTGCCCATTCCTGGCCATCACTGTCCAGAGCCTCCTCAGACCCCTAGTGTGTAACCCTGGACCCTCTGTTCCCCAAGACATGCCCACACCTCCAACACTCCTTAAAGCACCTCTGAGGCCCCATGCACCCTCAGGGATAGTGCACATCTTCCTAGCCAACCTTCCCTGGCTTTCTACTGGGGTATTTTTGTACCTGTGCCAGCTGCATGTCAGTGAGATTGGTGGTTCTCAGGTCTCTGGGGAAGACCACAAAGGTAGGCTGGCGCTGGTGAGGGGCAGCCAAGCAGCAGCCCAGCACCAGGAGCGCCAGAACCACAGGCTGCCAGGGACTCATGGTGAGGGTGGCGGTGTCTGGCTGCAGCTGCCCTTGCAGGGGGCTTTAAGGAAGCACTAGGACTGAATCAGTGACCCCGCCCCTCCCCACCAGGTGCTGACTCAGGGTGTGTGTGTGTGTGTGTGTGTGTGTGTGTGTGTGTGTGTGTGTGTGTGTTGGCCAGCCCTAGATGAGAAGGCAAAGGAAAAAAAAGGGCTTACACCACCTCCTCCTCGCTCCCTTGCCCACAGTCCCTACTGCCAAGTCAGGCAGGACCCCAGACCTGCAGGAAACCGCAGCACTCAGGGGAGGGACTGGGTTTTGCAAATTGCAGAGTTTGTGGGAAACAGAAGGAGGGGTACAAAGCTGGAGGATTCCCCCAACCCTCAGTCTGAAGGCCCCCATTGGCCAGCTCAGGGAACAGCTGGAAGACTCCCTGAGATGTCTGCGCCCATCCTTGTTCTTCTGTGATACCCCCTCCCTGGCCAGAGCTCTGTCTTGAGCCTCCCACCCACCCCCAGGCTCTCTCCTCTCCCCTCCTCCCTGAAAGCCTTCCTGACTCAGCTTCCTCTCCCCACTCCATATGGGGGTGGAAGGAGTAAACTCCTCCAGGCAGAAATTGGGGAATTCCACTGGGTAACTCCTGTGTTTGCAGGCTGACTCTTCAGGGCAGTAAAGAAGAGAGGCAACAGCGCCTGTAAAGCGGCAGATGAGGCTTCACTCTCTTTGTTCCGCCCTGTGGCAAATGTCCTCCCCACTCTGGATTTGACTCCTCAACTGTAAAAAATGGGCCTTTTGTCCCTAATTGATGTGAAGATAAAATGAGATCAACACAAAATGCTTCACAGTGTATGTAAACACTCGATAGATGGCAGCGATTGCTTTTAACCTCTGAGGCCAAGGGGGGCTGTGACCTAGAATGGGGAGACTGGCGTCTTGGGCTCTAAGCCCCTGGATGACCTGGAGCAGATGCCTTCCTCTTTCTGGGTTTCATATTCTTCACCTGCCCTTCCTCTTCTCCAGCCCTGCTCCACCAGTTCTCACCATTCCTGCCAATAGCCAGCTGCTTCATTCCCTCCCACCCACCCACCTGGCCAGTGGCAGGGCCCATTGCCTTCTGCAAGTTAAAAACAAATAAACAAACAAACACAAAACCCCAAAAAAAAGGGTAACAATTCAAGCTGTGTTTCCAGGGCCTGCTATGCACCAGGCACTTTCCCTGATCATTGAGTTCAGGAGATAGAAAAAATTACAAGAAAACAGGAGAGACTCTGGAGATCCCTAGTTAATGAGCACCTGCTTCAGAGTTACAAACACTGGTCTTCAACTATGTGACCTTGGACAAGTCACTTCACCTCCAAGCCATAATAATAATGCAATCGTTTGAGATTTACTGTGTTGCACACTGTGCTAAATTCACTGTTTCCTTCTCCCTCAGACCCCCCTGCCCCCACAAATGTTGGGGATGGAACCCAGGACCTTGTGCATGCCAGACAAGTGCTCTGTCAGCTACATTCCCCAGCCCTTCGTTTTTTGAGATGGTCTCACCATGTAGCTCAGGCTGGCCTGGAACTCACAATCCTCCTGCCTTTACCTCCCCAGTGCTGGGATTACAGGCATGCCACCACACTCAGGTTATATTATGACATAGGTTTGATGAGTAACCCTCTCTTTTTCAGAGGAGGAAACTGAGGCTCACAGCAGTTAAGAGATACGCCTGTGATCACACAGTGAGTTTACACAAAACCAGGATTCCAGCCTTGAGGCTGTTCAATTTTGTTATCATTTCCAAGGAACTGAGAGAACCAGAGTGTAGATGGGGGGTAGGGAGTGGGCTATGGTAGTGGGTACTTAAAGCCTGGACCCTTCTCCTCTGATCCTTATCTACCTAAGAGAAGGCTCAGGCCTTTGGGGGATCAGATGCTAAGACAGGGGACCCAGAGGAACTATATTCCAGACTTGGAAGTATGGACTCAAAGGGAAACAAAGCAAAAGCTCCTCTAATCCGGGGATCTTCAGTCTGGGTGGCAGACAGGGGCTTTAAAGAATCCAAGAAGTACCCCCAACTTGCCATCAAGTTTACAGAATATGTCACGTCTATGTACAGATATACAGATGTTATATTTCTCAAACTTAGCACTTTTCATATATGGAGTTGAATCATTCCTTGTTTTAAGACACTGTCCTGGGCAAAATCCCCAGCCCCTCTTCTCAGTAGCTGCCAGGAGCACCTCCCCCTGCCAGTTGTGACAACCCAAAATGTTGCCAAACATTGCCAAATGTCCTCTGGGTGAATGGTTGGGGGGAGGGGAATAGAACCACCCTTTTCAGCAAAGGGTCCGAAGCTTTCCTCAGTTTTCGAACCACTAGTGATGACCCTCCAGAATACTTGTTGAGTTTTGTGGGCCAAACATTGTGCTAAGAAGTGGGGCCACAGTGTAACCAATATAGCCTCTGTCCTCTTACTCATGGACCTAAGGATGCAGTAGGGGAGAAATTGAATCAGTAGTTATCAGAGAGACAAATGCCACCCAAGGGAGGTATACTTAGCTTCTCTAACTACCTCCCCTGTGCAGATGAGGAAACTGAGGTCCAAAGTGGTCACAGAGGGACACTTGGGACACTGTCAATAAGGAACAGTGGCTAAGAGCTCCCATCCTAGAACGAGGTAGTTTAAGTTCAAATTTCAGTTCTGCCACTCATTTACTTTGTGGCCTGAGCAACTGACCTTAACCATCGGTGCCTCATTTTCCCTATCTGTAAAATGGGGGTAGTAACAGTGGTTCCCTCGCTGGCCTGTCATTAGGGCCAAGGGTTAACAGATCAAAAGAGCCTAAGTGTGGGCTGCTATCTGAATTTGATTGCCTTCTAGACAGCTGCTGTTCTTAGGAGCTGGGGAGCAGGGAGACCACCCACCAAGAACCCTAGGGCTTGATTCCTGGAGTCAATCCAAGCAAGAACCTTCCTCTCCCCAACTCCAACTTCCTCCTCAACTCCTCCACTTCCCAACCCTCATCTGAGGAACTTGGGGGAGCTTGACTTTCAACAGGGCAGGGGCAGGAAGTGGTTCTGGTTACCACATCCCCTTCCCCACTTCCCCAGCCCCTCCTCCCAATACCACAACAAAGTTCAGTCAAAGAACCAGGAGGGGATGTCAGAGCAGGACATACCTATCCATGGTGGGTCCTCCACAACCCTGACCTCTTAACCAGAGACATAGTGTGGACTCTAAACCCCTCACTCAGGTGGAGGCTCCAGCAGGATGGGGAGGGGGCTGACCCTGGAGCCCCGAGTCACCAGCTGGGTGATGCACCCCTGCATGCTGCCATTAATATCTCCAGGTCCCCGCACCAGGGTCCGCCTCAGGAAATGAGAAATCACTCCCTCTTAGAAAGGGGGAACTCCAAGCCTTTTCTCCAAACCTGCCAGAGAAGGCAGGATGTGGGGGAGACATTGCCCACATCTGGGATGAAGCAAAAGATGTGTATACAAGACATGGCCCCAGGGAAGAGCATCACTAAGTACGCACTTCCCACCACAAACACACGTACCATCCTTAGCCCAGGGTGACAGCAGTTCCCACACTGACTCTTAGAGGCCCTACTGATACCAAGCCATGACTCCCACTTAGCTGTGTTGAGCACTTTCAATTGACAAGTCAGTACAGACTCTGGAATCAGATGTCTTGGGTTCAAATTCCAGCTTCTACCACTTACTGGCAAGTCACTTTTCTCTCTGGCCCTCCGTTTCCTCATCTGTACAATGAGGGAAAGGCTGGAGAGACAGCTCAGTGGTAGAGTGCGCCTAGCATTCACAAAACCCTGGGTTCGATCCCTAGCACAAAAAAAAAAAAAAAAATAGTAGATTTTTTGCCATGCTGGGGATAGAACCCAAGACCATTCAAAAGTGCTCTGCCTCTTCCTTCCTTCCTTCCTTCCTTTTTCTCTCTCTCCTTTTTAAATACAATAAGTATATTAGGAGTTTCATTGTGATATTTCCATACATACATATAATGTACTTTGATCAACTCACTTCCTCTATTACTCTTTCTTATCCTCCCCACCCCCTTTTTCACCTTTTATTGTCAGCACTGGAGTTTGAACTCAGGGGCTCCCACTTGCTGAGCAAGCGCTCTACCACTTGAGCCACACCCCCAGCCCTTTTTGCTTTAGTTATTTTTCAGATAGGATCTCAAGGCTGGCCTTACACCATGATCCTCCTACCTATTATCTTCCTCATAGCTGGGATTACAGGTGTGCCCCACTATGCCCAGCTTGTTGATTGAGATGAAGTCTCACTAACTTTTTGCTTAGGCCTTGAACCTTGATCCTCCCAAGTCATTTGGATTTTAGAAGTGAACTACCATGC